GCCTTGTTTAAGTATTTCCCTGAACCATCCAGTAACTGCTAGGTTATTTAGCCATTCATCCAATCCGCCTCCAACAATTCTAAGCTCTTGCATATTTTCCTGTGATTTTCACAGTTTAGCATGAATTGATTCAGAATGGTCAGATAAATTTACGGAGCACATACCTTCAAAATCCTCACAACCATCCTGTAACAATATCTTTGTTACCTCCCTGGCTTGTGCGCTTCTACTTGGAAAGGCTTCTGGCCAACCTGAAAAGGTGTCTGTTAGTACCAACAAATGCCTATACCCCTTTTTCTGTCCTTTTGAAAATTCTGTTGCAACATTTTATATACTGCTATTACCATCCAGAGTCTTTTTGAAATAGTTTCCTGTTTCTACTTGATATTTACATTTCATTTCTTTTTCAATCTTCATAATTTATCATAGATCATTTATAATTCCAGGAAGAAAATTATACCAGAAGTAGTCAATATTAAAACAATTAACATTAATATTCCTGCAACCAGTTGCCTTAACCAGGAGAGATCAGGTAACCATGAAGGTAACTTCTTCAAACCTCAGGCGGTATCATCCTTGGCCATTTTATTAAATATTTTTGTTTGTTTCCAGATTTCCCCCAGATCTGTTTCAGGAACAGGAGTTCTCATTGATCCTTGTTCCACTGGGATTCTATCAATGGTTTTACTTTCTATTTCCTATGGTTGCTGCGATATTTATGATTGCCTTCTCTAATTCACTTATTCCCAAAGATGGAATTAGCCATCTCACAAAACTATGAAATGCAGTACTCTGTTCAGCAATAGGGTTAAACCCTCACTTAACCAATACCATCCTTTCCCTTCAGGAACAGGCCACCACTAAACCACAATACCATCTCTATTAATAGTGTGATTACAATGTGAACAGTGACCTACACCTGTGGCATTTAAACAAACATAGTCTCCTATTCTGGTTCCTGGTGTAGTACATCTTTCCATGAGATAGTGTTGGAAACTGGAATGCCAATTAATGGAAGGCCCTGATCTTCCCCTGATTCAGGCAACTGTGTACACACACAACAGTCACTACAATTAACAACTTTAGTAACATTCTGCATTAATTTCAGGTATAAGTAATAGTCCCAAAGTGGTATGTCAGTTATCACATAAATCCAAATTATGACTGATATGATTTCATATGCGAGGGTCCTGAAGGTTCGATCCGCCATGTCTTCTCTGGTTCTGGTGCTTTCTTTGTTCCTTTATCTTCACTGCTGTAAAGGTGGTCAATATTATCTGGTATGGTCCGCTCCACTTCTCCCGTAGAGGATCTCCTGAAAAATTCTTAAACCCAGTCTCTGGATCTAAAAGGGTGAGTCTGATAATCCACGCCTCTCGCTCTTGTCCTCAGTATTTTCTTCTTTCTTCTAATTGCTTTTCCCAGATTGATCAGAAACTTTAGGAGATAACCTTCTCCCACTTCCAGAAGACTTTCTCCTTTAAACTGGGACTGATATTGTCTTCCATATAAAATTTTACATGGGATAGCCTCTTCTTTCGACCGAGGTTTAGTTCAAATTCTCAATAAAGCCAGTGGTAAGGCTTGGTATCAGTATCTTGACATACTAATCTGTTGTTTTATTATCTTTCCAACTTGCCCACTGGCCTGTATGGAACATGTAGTTGCCAATGAATTTCTAATTTTTGCTAATTTCTTGTACTAAAGGTTGAGCCTCGGTCAGAAGAAATTGCCTCTGGTACTCCAGAACAAGGTATTACACTGTTTAACAATGTTCCAATTACTTGTCTTGCATTATTTATTCTACAAGGGAATGCTTCTGGCCACCCTGAAAAAGTATTCATTAACACAAACAAATATTGGTCTCAATAATTCAGAAAAAAAATTATTTGTCAGTGCTGTCCCAGATAACTTCCTCCCCAATTGTACCAATTTGATTTCTACTTTCAATTTTAGGGTTATTCTTGAGACAGAGCTGACATTGTCACTAATTGAACTATGTTATACAGATTCCTTCCTTCAATTTGTTCATCTAAGTATTTAGACAAAGAGTTGCTACCTCAATGAGTTTTATTATGTTCTTCCTGAACTAGCTTCCAGAGTTGGTTATAGGGGATTATAATTCGCCCATCAGGTATCTGAACCTAATCTTGTTTGTTTTCCTCTCCTTTGAAAGCTCCAATCAATTTTCTATCCTCCTTTGAATACCTAGGTTTAGATTTCTCAATTGTTAGTTTGCCATCAGGGATTAAGGGAATGAGTTTAGATTGTTCAGCTGCTCATTTGGCTTCAAAATTGGCCAAATTATTTCCAATTTCCTGATCAGATTCACCTTGTTGATGCCCTCAATACATAACAGCTACCTCCTCAGGTAGCTGAACAGCTCTTAGTAGTCATAGAATTTCTGTAGCATGTTTAATCTGTTTCTCCTGTGTGTTCAAATGTCCTCATTCTTTCCAGATGGCACACTGTGCATGGACCACACCAAATGCATATTTGGAATCAGTACAAAGATTTATCCCTTTGCCTTTAGCCAATTGCAGGGCACGTTCCAGAGGTTTCTTTCAAATCTGGTTGGCACAGTTCAGTCGGGTGTGAATAGTTCTGTTGGTTGTTCTGCAAAAGGATTCTGGATTGACAACACTGACCACAATTTCTGTATCATGATGTTGCACAAGGGTGGCCTGGTATTTTAAAAAACATGACAGTGGGCTTCTTTCTGTTCCAGGACTGCTGATACCACATGGGACACTAGTACAGTAATACTTTGTCCCAAGGTGAATTTGCGAGCCTCTTCAATATTCATGACAACTCCTGTCACAGCCCTTGGGCATCCAGGCCATTTTTTGCTCACTTCATTCAGCTGTTTTGAAAAATGCACCACTGCCCTCTTATAGGGTCCTAGTTTCTGACTAAGGACCACCAAAGCTATTCCCTGTTCTTCATAGGAATATAGCCAAAAGGATTTAGTCATATCCAGAAGTCAGAGCTGCAGCTCTCATTAGCTCTGCTTTTAAATTTCTAAAGCCCTCCTCTGAATAAAGAGAGAGGGGTTTAACAGTTCATCTAGGGGTCTTACCGGAACACCATAATCATACATCCAAAGTCGGCAACATCCAGTCACTCCCAGGAACATACGGAGATTCTTGATGGTTGTTGACAAATGGCTTCTCTTCTAGCAGTTCCAAGTTCTCTCTGTCCTCCTGTTATTTCATATCCTACATAGGAAACTCGGGTTTGGATTAGTTGGGTCTTTGTCTGGTTACCCAATAACCATTCAGTCCCAGAAAATTCAATAATCCCACCATTCACTGAACACATTCTTCCCTTGTTTCAGTAGCAACTGATAGGTCATCCACATATTGTAACAGAGTCCCCGTCTGAGTGGGTGATTTCCATGATTCTAGTTCCAGTGCTGATTTTGAAAGGACTGTTTTAAAACCCTTGAGATAATACTGTCCAAGTTAATTGGGTTTTCCTTACTGTGTCAGGATTTTCCCATTCAAAAGCAAATAAATTCTGGTTTTCTTTGGCCAATGGTAAGCAAGAGTCCTTAAATCCAAGATGGCAAATCATTTCTGATTCAATTTAGTCAATAAGGAAAGTGGATTAGCTATTACTGGATAAATATCCTCTATAAATTTGTTGATTCCTGATATCTTGAACCAATCTGCAACTTTATTTCTTTACTGGCAAGATAGGAGTATTATATTCCAATTCACATTCAATTAATAAATGTGGGTTGTGTTGGATATTATTTTATTCTAATTGGGCAGATCCCCCTTTTTATTTCTACTTTAACAGGCAAAGCATTTTTCACCTTACCTGGAACTTCAGATGCCCATACTCCCACATACACCTGGTTAAGGATTTCTTCTATTTCAGGGAGGTCCTGATAGCGGAATAGACTCCACAACTTCGTTAAAGTTGTAAAGTAGGTATGCTTTATTCAGCTGAAGACGCACGGGGGATTGGTCCTCCAAAAGTCATGCGTGCCCCAGTGTTGTTTCCCTCTACATTTATAAGGTTGCACCATACGCCTATACATATTCATGTCCTATCCCCGCTTCGTATTACAGTGAGCTAGAAGGTCCTTTGCGCCTGCGCAGTGCCCCCTCTGGTCATGGGTAGGGGTCTTCAAGATGAAGTAAATGAGTCTTCCTCTTCTTGAACTTTTCACCTTTTAGTCTTCACGTATGGCCTTCGGGTTTGGTCCCAGCCATCAACCATCTGCTTCTCCCCCTTAACAGTAGATTCAGGGGTCTGCTTTTCCCTATCAATAGGTGCTTATCAGTAGAATCAGGTGTCTGCTTTTCCTTGTCAATAGAACCAGGTGTCTGCTTTTCCTTATCAATAGCTAGTGCTTTTGTTCTGCTTAGTAGGCATGATAGGTACAGACAATACCTTTGCTTAAGCAATTGAATTCCTCCAACCCCCCTGTACAACCCCCCTGTACATTGGTCAACCCTCTGCATCAGTGACAGACATTCCGTGTTAATGTATTGCCAAGGAATTCAATGACTTCTTAAGAAGTTTCATCACCCAAAGATAAGATCCCAGCAACAGGAGGAGAACAATGAAAAAGAATCACGTTGGTATTTGGATGAAGGAGAGGACAGAATTGGCTGAAACCCAAGACCGAGGAGTATAAGAGACTGTACCCCAGAACTCTTGGTGTGCATCTTGGGTGCAGCGGAGACTCCCCGGCGCACCCAGCGCTGCTTGCTTATTGCCTCTCGATATTAATCAATTGTAATAAAAAATTAATTAAATCAGATCATGGCCAAGACAGAATTTTTATAACACCTCCCACCCGACAGAGGGCGCCAGCCCTGCCGGGGAGCGGCGTGGTACCGGCCGCTTGTGTAGGCGTGGCGCGGGTGCGTAGCCGCGATGCATGCCGGTACCAGCAGACTGTGCGCGGCTTTAGAGCAGTGGAGGGGATGATTCGGTCCCGTCGTTCGTTCGGGAGGGTTTGTGCGTCACTGACCGGCGCCATGGTGGGGAAATGGCGGCGGGCGCCGCGGCCAAACGCGATGGAGGCGCTGGGCGGGCTCCCCGAGGAGGCCGTAGTGAACAGCCACGTCCTGCAGTTCTACTTTCACCAGGCCTTGGCGGCCTACCGCGCGGGGCGCAACCGCGACTTCCGACAGTTCCGCGACGTCATGCAGGGTGCGTTGGGGCTGAGGGGGGAGGCGGGCCGGGCCGGGTGCGGGGGAGGCGGAGCCGCACCGTGTTGTACCTGCACCGTGTTGTACCTGCACTGTGTAACCTACTCCTTGTCCCGCAGCGCTGCTTGTGCGCCCGTTGGAGAAGGACCACATCATGGCCCGGAGGCTGCGCTTGATGCAGTTCCTGTCACGGGTCGAGGAAGGCGAGAACCTTGGTGCGTCCCCAAACCTTCCAGTAGTGCCTGGGGGGAGAATCCGCAGGTTGAGCCTGCAGCCCATTGTCCCTGGCCTCCGTCCCAGTAGCAACCAGGAGAAGCGTTTCTACGCAGAGCAGAAGCCTGGGCTGAAGCTGTTCACCTGTAGTAGCTTTTCCCTGAAGGCAAGGGTCTAAAGAGCATGACTTTTCATGTCTGCATCGTGCTGCTGTAGCCAGGAGCAGTGTCCTAGATCCCAAGCTCCCAGTCTGTCCTGTTAGCCAGACATACACCAACATTAGTGTACATATCTAGGTTACATGTAAGGAAGAAGTTCTTCACTGTGAAGGTGGCGAGGCCCTGGAATGAGTTGCCCAGAGAACTGGTGAATGCTCCATCCTTGGCAGTGTTCAAGGCCAGGCTGGGCAGAGCCTTGAGTGGCATGGTCTAGTGTGAGGTGTCCCTATGGCAGGGGATTGGAACTGGATGATGTTAAGGTCCTTTCCAACCCAAACCATGCCATGATTCTACAGTTCTGTGATTGTGGCTTTGGCTCAGCCTCGTTGCTTCTGCAACACTCCCCCGGGTCAGTTATTAATAGGCACATGGTGCTTCTGTAGCTTCCTATGCCTAGGGGTGGATCTTGCAGTTTAAGCCCTTGGCAGACAGCCTTCTGTTCCTTCTCACCTTCATCTTCGGTAGCTGTGGGATTCGCAATTGGAACAAGCAAACAAGTGACTAGGTCTGTGTAAGACATCTGTGAACCCCTCACAAACAAGCATCTCTGGTCTTGCAGATTGCACTTTTGATAAAGAGTCGGACCTCACCCCTCTGGAATCAGCAATCGGTGTCCTGGAGCTTATTCATACAGAATTCGCTGTGACTCAGGAGACGATGGAAACTCTTCGGGAAATGGTTAAGGAAGCTGTAAGGTGTTTTTGAATAAATACTCTGTTTTACAAAGGTCTTGTGTAAATGACGGTGAAAATTGCCTCAGGTATACTATTATTAGGGCTGACTTGTCTGCAAATGTGTATCTTCAGTGCATGTGCTTCTTCATCAGTTAATGTAGAAGAGTTTCTTTGTAAGTTGGTACTAAGCTGTTACCTGTGCTGTGCTTGATGATCATACATGCTTTTCCAAAGTTAATCTACAGAGTATGGTCATTTCAGTGTCAGCAGAGAAAATGTTTTTTGTTTTCTCCTGCAGGCTGTTATTGTGTGCATCAGAAACAGAGAGTTTGAGAAAGCGGCAGAGATTGTCAAGAGGCATATAGGGAAGGAGCCCAAAAGCCAGGTGAGTCTGTGCTGGAATGAGAGGCAGCTGCTTGAGCACTGTCTGGTATGTCCTATGGGGTGTTGGGGAACAGAGGTACCTGGAGTAGTTTCTGGTATGTCTTACAGGGTGGGCAGTATGACCCCTGAGGGTGTAAGAGGTTTCCTTGAGAAGCACGCTCATTAGGGATACCCAAAGAAGAAAAAAGGGTAAAGGTTCCAAAACTGGAATTAAAAACTCCTCCTTGAGCGATGGACCTTCAGTGCTCTGCATTTCTCAAGCATATCGTTCATCTCTGAAGCTCCCTCTGTTACTTGCATTTTCTCGCCTATCTCCATGGGTTTTCCAGGTATTGGTATTCATCCTTTACCTCAAGGAAAACTCAAGCTCATGTGTAGAGCATGAATTGGTAAGGGTTGGTTCTGAAAGCAGGAGTCCCTATTCCTCTTTCTTTAGGCAGTGAAATGTCTTGGGTGCTGGAGCAGAAAGTCAGGATTGCTGAAAAGAGATGATGTTCCTGTTCCTCTGGCCTTTTCCCAGCCTTGTGTCGGTGTAAAGTAGTTGTGCCTGGAGAATCTCAGATAGGAAGGGGCCAGACCTCATCTGGATCCTAGCTTTTGTGTTTAGATCCTTGTATCTATTCAGAGCATTCTTACCTCTTCTCTAGAAAAAGAAGAAAGAGTTGCTGGCTGTTATCCAGGACAAGGATTGCAGTCATCCAGTGGTCAGAAAATTCTCTTACAAGGACTTCCAGCGGAGCACATTTCAGTTCCTGGAGACTTACATGGATGATTCAGAGCCCCTGCTGCAAACGGTACATGTTTGCCTTGCTTACCTGGCTTCCCAAAACAGCACAGGGTGGAGGCATGGGGGGAACCAATGCTTTGCCAGAAGGCAGTGAAATACAGGAATTTGGCTTTTACATGCCTTCTGTGTCAGTTAATGAGTTTGAGTTTAGGCACCTAATGGTGGATTAAATCCAAAATACCACAAAATCAGTCTATTCCAGAAGGGTTTCTAGAGGTGAGTGCATCTTTCAGTCTGTGTAACAAGTTTTAATTGATAGACATGAACTCTGTACCTGGTGCTGATTTAGCTGCAGGTGGCAGCTAAAAATGCCTTTGAGAGGAGATGACACTGGGTGGCAGTACAAGAAATCACCTTGTAATGGTTATGTGCTTTTTCTCTGTCCAAGATGATTAAAAAGACTTTGAGATCAGAAAATGCAAAAAAACCAAGACGCCCACCAGTGACTCCTGAGCCTGCAAATGGGCCAGAGGATGATACTCAGGAGACGTTGGGAGGGGCAGAAGGCCCAGCAGGAGCTCCAGAGCCTGCAGAAATGGTGAAAGACCTGGAGGGAGCTCCCAGCCCTGCAGAAAGGGCAGATGACCCCACAGCAGCTTCAGATCTTGGGGAAGGAGCTAGTGACTTTGTAACAGCATCTGAGCATATGGAAGAGGGTACTGACCCAGAAGCAACTCCTGATTATATAACAGCAGCGGGTGATAACGTGGAAGATGTATCAGAGCCTACGAAAACATCTAAAGAAGTAGCAGCAGCAGCAACTCCAGAACCTCCAGCTGCTGACCCAGCAGCAACTCCACAACCTCCAGGAGTGTCTTCCAGGGACTCAAAAAGGTGAGCAGAGGAATCTGGCCCTGCACTGTGGATAAAGCAGTTCTCTTCCAGTCAGTAGTTTCCTCTCTCCAGGTAGCTCTTAACTTTCCCAGTGCCAACCCCAGCGGGTCTGCCCAAGCAAGCCCCGGAGGTGCTCAGTGTAAGACTTCTGTCTGCATCACAGTAGAAGTGTTCAGTTGGTTTGGGATTTTTTTTCTGGAGATACTGCAAAACAGGGAGGGAGGGCAGTGGCTGCCAGCAGGTTTGCTCTCACAGAGCAGTGTTTGGTGTCTGTATGGCTCAACCCTTATTTGAGAATAGCACATGGGCATGTTCTCTCAACACCTGCTTCCTTGCTGCACCACCTGGTTTGAAAGGAGGGAGGACTGAAGGTCTGGGAATGCCACCTTCACTAAATTTTATTTGCACCCTGGGGTCAGTTATTGAGGGTGACACCCCTGGGGAAAAGCCTGATCTCAGTGAATTGGAGCCACTTTGGTGATACTTCTACAACCTGCTCAGTTCTGTTTGTTTTGTAGGGGGCCCTCTGGAACTGAAACCACGTATGGGATTTCTGTTCTGAAAGAAGCTTTCAAGATGCTGTCTGACTCCCGGGATTCTGGTGCACTCTTCACCAAACTGGATGAAACAGACTTTTCTTTCCCCAAGCAACTGTCTCCTTCTGTATCCCACAGAACCAAGAAACGGAAAGAAGCGGAGAAACAAGATTCTGACATCTCACACCCTCCTGAAGTTATCCGTAAGACCAGACGCTTGTACACAATAAGCAAACTGGTCATGGAACAAGACGACCAGTACAGCGAGTTGAGTGAGAGGCCAGACTCTTCCCAGGAGCCAGTTGTATCTTCTGCTTCCAGACCTGTTCAGAAACCGCATGACCAGTCTGTATCTACTGGGACGGCCAAGTATGAAATCCATCTCTTGTGGTATATTATAATATGCACCCAGTCTTTTGACTTGCAGCTGACATTGGTAGCATGAACAAAAACCTTTCTCTTGCATTCAGGATGAGTGTATTGACCATCCTTGTCTGCTAGCGTATGCGCAACTGGGCAAAGTAAATACTTTGTCCTTGCACTTCACTATTTGGGTACTGGGGAGGAGAAGATTACCCGTTTTCCACTGGCAGTGGGTTGGAGGTACTGCAGGTAGTACTGGTAGGCAATTTCAGGGTGCATATTGCGGGTAATGTGTGTTTCTCTGTGCTTTGGTTAGTGACATTGACAGTGGAAAGAGTTCATGGGTGCATCTTGTGGTGTGTTTTAAACTCTCCGTTCTACTTCTTCACCTTGCTTAAGGTCTCTGGGTTTTTTTTGTTTTGTTTTTTGGGTGGTTTTTTCCCCAACACCAGTGTTGGATAAGAAACTCCTAGTTGTAACTTTCAGTATGAGTAGTCGCTTACCTTGCAGCTGAAATGACTGCAGTAAGATGTGGGACTATGTTAGGGGTTTTTTCCTGTTTATAAGGATTACCCACAGAGGACAGAAAAGTAGGCTTACTGGCAGAAGTTTAAAATTAGCACTGTTAGGAGACTGTAAAGCTATGAGTCTCATGAGTAGCTCCTGTAGGCTGTAACAAGGATGTGGCAAAGCTTCCTGCTTCAGTGTCTGAATTGCTCCTCTTCTGTTTAGTGAAGTTGCAGAGCAGCCAGCAATAATGATGTTTTGGATCCCCAGGAGTGAAAGTGGAAGGACTGAGGAGAGCTTGATGTCTTTGGAAAGATAAAACACAATCTCTTTCATTTTCTGGCTTAAGAACATCAAGAACATGAAGGTCTGGTTTTGAAGGGCAGGCAGGAAAGATCTTGGTGTTCTGCATTGCTTGGCTGCTTTGGAGTTTGAAGTGCTGGAGAGCGGCCACAAGTTGAGATGTGCTGCAGTGCATCTGGCATCTTTGCAAGCAGTGGTGAAAACTCTTGCTGGTGTGCATTGCTCAGGGTTAAGCTGTCAGAGGTGATGCTGGGAAGGGACTTCTACCCGGTCATTGTCTTAAGAGTCATGGGGGAAGTTTAGTTGATAAGTTTCCTGTTCTTCAAGGACTTGAGTGACAATGCTTTATCTTTTGTTTTGTTTGGGGTTTTTTTTCTGGTAGCTAATGTTGCTGTCCTGGGCTGTCTGGAGTTTATTCTGAGGATGTTAGGGAGCCCTGTGAGAATAGAATTACGTTTTATGGACTCGTCTGAGGCCATGTGCTGTGCCTGACTGCCATGGGAAGAAGCTGGACACAGATATGAACGTGATGCCTTCCCATCCTGTGCCAGCTAAAGTGAGGGTTCTGCCAGACTGGGAGGGAGCCAAGAATGGGGCTGCTGATGTTGGTGTAGGCAGTTCTTGAGTTTCAAGCCCTGATGCTGTGCAAGTTGGTTTCCAGTTCACCTGGGAAGTGATTTATTGTCTGTGCTGCTTGTGTGGATGTCCTGTCTTGAAGTCTTTCTGTGTCTGTACTTATGGTAGCAGTGGTGTTGACAACTCTCTGGAAATCTCATTGTGTGCATCTCTGCTGCAGGCTGTTTCACAAATGTTTATGTTCAAGAAAGAGGTGTTCAACAGTGCAACCTCAAGTAAGAGCACAGATCAGTTATTTCTCAGTGGCTTCAGTTATATTGGATGCAGTATCCTTGGCTGAACCTTCTGAAGGCTTTTTTTAACAGACGTAGTTTAACTTCACAAGTCTGTGTTTGAGGACTGGAAGCAGATGACAGCACTGAGGCACTTGATATCACTGAGAGCCTCTGTAGCTTGGCTGACCTCAGTAGTGCTAGCAGTAAACTAGTAAGAATTAAAGGCTCCTTTGGAAGTCTGAAGGCTTCTCCCTCAGGTTGCTGGCAAGTCTGTGCCACATACAGAGGCCTGGGAAGTCCAGCTTTGTGTCTGCTGTAAGCACTTAATTGTGTAGTTAATACCCTCTCGCTTGTTTTTGCTAATGCTGGCTACAAAATACAGCACTCCACCTGTATTGAGTACATACAGCACACTGTACCTTCAGATAGAGGCTGCTAAGGATTCATCCACCTTCAGAGGGGACTTGAGGAGGTGGCAGTCTGTTTATATATATCACTTTATGGGCACTTTTCTCAGCACTGCACCCTCATCACAGGCTTGCTTGCTGTATCCTCTGTGTCCCTACCTTCTCCCCTAAAAACACCCTCCCTAGCCAGCAGCCAAAGTAAAAGCTTGCCTGCTTTCAGATCCCTCAGAAGAAAATGGAGCAGCGGACAGGGGTCAGAAGAAAAAGAGAGTTGGAGTGAGGAGGATGAGCTTTTCCCAGGTGCCAGTAAGTACAGAGCCCCTCCTGTGGGTGTTAATTGATGCTAATCCTGGCTGTGGGGCTCATTTATGGGTTTCTTCAGTCTTCTGTGTGACTGAATTTTGAAACCAGAAACCCTGAAACCCAGGAAAATCGGTAACTGTCCAGGTCTTTGTACATCTGCCTTGAAATGTGTGCCAAAGCTACCTGTTCCAGTCTCAGATAAATTATGCTTAGCTTAAAGAATGTAAACGTCAGAAATACAGCTTTTTTCCCTGTTCCTACTTTAGTACCATGAAATAAATGTTCAGTTTACATTTTCAGTCAGATCAATTGTCCAGTCCTTTTTGCAGCTAGATATGTAGCTTAACTGGTGAAAAGGAATGGATAATGGGTGTCTAATTCCAGCTTCAATGTACAGTCTAGCCACATCCTGGATGGATGCCCCTGTTCTGGCTAGTTTAAAACAAATCAGATCCTATTGGAAAGCTTTCACGTGAAACAGCTGGGGCTGCAGAAAAGGGAAGGATAAAGGAGTTTGGTTTGTCCGTCATGGGGTGCTCTCATTGTAGGCTCTGTATTTGCAGCAGTTAAGCTCAAGGAAGTCTGTACCTCTGGAGTTAAGGTGAAATGTAACCCTGTTGCCTTGTTTTTCAGCATCATTTGAGACAGCCAGCTATAGCAGTACAGTCTTCAGTTACAAGAAACAGGTAATGTGGAGCCCTTAAGTCCTTTGAGCAAGGCCTGAGATTATGATATATCTGCAGAGAAGAGCAAAATTCCAGACAATCTGAAATACACTGGTGGGGGTTGCTGCTCAGACTGCTTTCTCAGCAGCCTGCAGTTCATTACAGCAGGGTGAGCTGCTGTCATGCTTTAAATGAGGAGGCTGGATTGGAAAGTGCTTCCTCAGGCTGGTGCTTGTGGTATCCAGGCTTGATCCAAGTTGTGCAGGCCTTTGCATTCACAGAGATGCATGGACTTTCCCTGTTAAAACAGCCCAGTTTGGTAGTTGGTAAAGCTGTGTGCAGGGCACTGGGTATGTGCATGAAGTCCTTTTTCCTTGATGCATGTGGTTCAGAGCTGGGTGTGCTGGGTTCCCTCCATGCTGGGGAGGTTCAGCATCTTGTTTGGGTGAAGGACACACGTACAGCAGCTGTTGCTTGGGAAATGGTCCCCACTTTGCTGCTTGGAACTCTCAGCCTGGCTTGTAGGAGAGCTGCTGGCTCTTGTGCTTTGTAGCACTCTGCTTGTAGCACTCTGCTGGAGGTGAGCACTTCTGTTAACAGGTACGAGAGCACATCCACAGAGGAGTGATTGTTGTGTGTGCTGTTGCCAGGACATCTGTGCCTTTCCTACATGTTACTAGCACAGATGGTAAAGGGGAGCTAACACACACAGGAGGAGTTACCATGTGGTTCTCTGCTAGTGGCACTCTGAAGCTGCACTTTGTACTCACAGGACACTGCTTACATGCTCTTTTGTAGAAATGGACAGTGGAAGAGAGCGAGTGGATCAAAGAAGGTGTGCGGAAGTATGGAGAAGGGAAATGGAAGGCCATTTGCAAGAAATACCCCTTCCAGAACCGCACAGCAGTGATGATCAAGGATCGCTGGCGGACCATGAAAAAACTGGGAATCCTCTAAAGCTGGGAGTCACAGGACCTCCAGTGGAAAAACCTTTTTCTTTGGGAAGACAGACTGGAGCATCACAGCAGGGGAGGCTGCTGTGCCTGTCTCTGATGTATGTGTATGTGTGTGTGTGTGTGTGTGTGGGGAGCCCCTGTGGCTAATGACACCTGAGACTGATGTAGCAGACAGAAATCATATGACAAGAACCAAGGAGCCTTGAGCTCTAGATGCAGGTTTTAGTTTTTGTGCAGGCTTGATAGCATATGCTTGGAAATGGCCTGGATTGGGACTTCCTTTTGTCAACTGCAACCTTTGTAGAATGAGTCCCAGCTGAAGTGAGTTTTGTCTGCTCAGATGATGTCAAATAGCAGGCTAGTCCTCTCGGGTGATATTTTTATGTGTTGTCTCAACTGTCTGTCACTTGTTTTATCCATTTGTGCTCAATTATCTGTGGGTGGGAGGCAACATGTAGCCCCACAGCTTATAGGGAGGAGATTGAGACAAATGCATACCTTTCATTCTTCATGTTTCTTTCTGCTTTTAGTGGTAGTTGTTTTTTTTTTTTTTCCCTCACAGCTTTGAGATTTTAAAAAACACAATTTTGCATCTTAGTATTTAAATGTTGGTTGTTCTTATATTAAAAGTTGGGCCATATCTTACTGACACTTCTTCCTGGTGTGCAATCCCTGCAAGTGTGTGTGTGCTCAGGGCATTGCATATCCAGCAGCCGAATTCACAGCTCATGTACTACCAGCCTTCCATAAATAAAGTTTGTGTTTTCTTGGCTGGCTTGAATTGTAAGTGTGAGCTTGTACCATATGGGTGGAAATGTGGCAGTTGGGGCAGGCAGCACACCAGGCTTCCCCTTTGCCTCCTGAGCTGTTGTCTCAGCCGCTGCTTGGGGTAGAACAGTGATGCCCAGAGGTGCTGCATAGGGCAGAAATGTCTGGACAAGGTTTCTGCTGAAGTCAAAGGCTGAGGAGCCAGGGTGGTATTTGCTGGAAGCAGTCTCTCCCAGCAGCATTCCTGCAGAGCGGGGGCTGGGAGAAGCCTGTCTGGAAACACCTGCTTCACTTCTGTCCTTCAGCAGGAGCTGCTGGACTGAGCCTGCCCCAGCACCTGGCTGTGGCTGTGTTTCCCCCTGCTTCTGCTTGTAAAACTCCATTCCCTGGGGTCAGAGCAGCCTGGGTAGATGGGACACCCTGCACTTGCACAGGCTTGATGTGAGCCACAAGCTGGACCAGTAATTGCTGTTGTGAGGCAATGCCCATTGGTTGTGCCCAGTTGGAGAAGACAGATTCACCCATACTTCCCTTTGCACCAGGCTCTTGCCCTTGGCTATACAGGGAAGGTGTTGCAGCCAAGGCAAGGAGGAGCCTGGGAGAAAGGACATTACCCCACAAACCCACTTCAGGGCTGTGTGCGTTTTCTGGCAGTAAAACACTTTTCCTGCTTAAATTTCCTTGCTCACAGGACACAGACTGGTGGAGCGTTGGTCAGTGAGGAGCAGGGCTGGCTGGGGACTGGCTCAGTGTTGCTGGTGACTGGAGCTTCTTCACAACAGCCTCTGCCGAGGGTTCATCTGGGTGAGCTGTAATGTGGATGAAGTGGATAAGCCCCTGCTCTGCCCCAAGATCATCTCAAGGGTGCCTTGTTCCCCTGACTCCAGCCCTGGCCCTGCAAGGTGCCACTCTGAGGCAGTTAATGATTATCCCTGACACCTCCAGTCCCCGCTCCTGCCCTGGCTGGAAGGAGTGTGGAAGGCTGGGAAGCAGGATGCTGCTGCTGCTGGTGTTCCTGGCTCTGCTGGGCTCTGCTGGCTGCCCCAGGACTGAGCCCCTCAGCACATCCAGCCAGGACCTGCCATTCCATGGGGCAGATCGCTATGACTTTGCCATCATCATTGCTGCTGGCACCATGGAATGCTTCTGGCAGTTCGCACACCAGAATGGGAACTTCTTCTTCAACTACGAGGTGAGTTTTGCAAGGTGCATCTCGGGAAGCTGTGCAGCTGCTGATGAGGTCAGCGAATGGCTATACCGAGTTAGTCCAATGCTGCAGCTCCACAGTCAGTGCTGGCCACTGCCTCCTTCAAGGGCATGGCAGGTTCTGCAGTGGAAATTCCTCCAACACCATGGGCCTACAACCAGGCTTATGTGCAGAAGGGCAACTCAGGCTGAATCTACCAGCCTCAGAGTGGAGGGGGCTTGCCTTGCATGGGGAAGGTACTGAGTTGGGACAGGAATAGTTTCAGTCATTTGGGTTTTCCACCTCAGGGACTGTACTTTTTTTAGGCAATTTCCATCATGAATCACATTTCCTTTTTTAAATACCTGTTTTAAAGGAGCAGTGAGAGCTCTGGATGTGGAGACTGAGCATGCAGAGAGCTGCAGGGTGTCCTGGCACTGGGGGAACTCTGCCATTTGCTGGGCTGGCTGAAGGCTGCTGCACGGCCCTTGGCTCTCTGAGCTGCAGCTGGAAGGCACACCAGAGGTCTCAGGCACAGCCCTATGTACTTGTCCTCGAGCTCTGTTCCCTTCCCGAAGGGAAAACGGCAGCCTTTTATCACCTGTTTACACTAGGCTGGTTGAAGGAGAGCAAGAGCATGGCCATGCCCAGCGCTGACAGCTTCCCCCTGGCTCTGCCCTCAGCAAAGCAGCCCCACAGGAGCATGGCACAGCCCTGGGCCTCAGCACAGGTCCATCTCCCACCACTGCAGCAGTGCCAGGAGCACCCCATCGAGGCAGCAGGGAGATGGAATAGGTACAGGGGGGAGGAGATATGGGGTGTGTTCAGGAGTCTGCAGCACCATGAGCAGGCGCTGGGAGCCTTGCTGTTTATCATCCAGGGCTGTGGGGTTTAGGGTTATTCACATACAGCTGGCAGCTCACTGGCGGCTGTTCCTGGCCCCAGCTCACAGCACTGGAGGGGTCAGCTCCCCAGGGACCCCAAAACAATCCTCAGTAGAGGCTGGACCACACTGGGCCCCTTCCCTGCACACAAGGGCTCCTATGGGCTCCTGTCTGTTCCCTGAGCTCAGAATTGGGCCCATGAATGCCACTTGGGTGTTTTCTGCCTCCAGGTCCAGCGTGCCACAGGGATCGGCAACAACAGGAACATCCTGGTCACAGCGAGCGACCCCAGCGGCTTCCAGCTTGGTGCTTCCCAGCATGCGCGGGGACAAATCAACTTCCTCACCAAGGAGAAAGGTCCTCGCTGCCCTGGTCCTGCTCAGGCAGCCAGCATTTCTCAGGGGCATTATTGGTCTGATCACATCTCTTCAGTGGGGAGGATGAGGGTCAAGCGCTGGGGATGGGTTTGCCTGGCAGTGGCTCTTCTGCTCAGGGAACAACAATCCCCGTTTCTCTCCACAGGTTTCTACCAGCTGTGCCTGAACAACCAGCAAAACCACTTGGGCTTCATGCAGGTGTATCTCAACTTTGGTGTCTACTACGAAGCCTTTGACGCAGATAACAAGCAGCCAGAAGAGCGGAAAGAGCTGAATGACACCCTGGAGGCAATTGAGGTGAGTGTGAAAGTGACCACAGTGCTCCAATGCCGTGAGGATGGGCAAGTTCTCCCGAGGGAACCAAGAAGGTGTTTGCTGTTGGCTGAGCTGCAGCTTTAAGTTAATGCTGAGCACAGGGGGAGCTCCAAGAGCAGCTCTTCCAGCCCCAGGCTCTGCTGCAGCCCAGATGCTGAGCACCCACCTCTCCTGCAGGTCAGCACCCAGAAACTGACGCTCCACATCTTCCACATGTGGCGGTTCTACAACTTTGCCCGGATGCGGAAAACATCCGATTCCTTCCTCCTGGAGGCCAATTACAACTACATCAACTGGTGGTCGATGGCTCAGAGCTGTGCCATTGTCCTCTCCGGGGTGCTGCAGCTCTACTTCCTGAAGCGCCTCTTCAATGTGCAAGCCCCCAGCAGGCAGAAGTGCTAGCTGTGTCCAAAAGTGCGGGAAGGACCAGTGCCTGCAGCGCTTGGTTACAGCGCTAACAGCTAATTCTGACCCTTCACAGAGAGGGAGGAAGGGCCAGATCCTGCTTTGAGGGAGTTCCCCTGCCCCTCCCTTGGCTGAAATCACCCCAACAGAAGAAATGCACAACACTGGACTCTGTGTGCTAGGTCAGTTTGTTACCTCCCTACCCATCATTACGGTGTTCTATAATGTCTTTTTTACCAGGCACTTAATAAAGAACCCCTGGCACCCAATCTGGGGCATGATAGCAGCCTTCTGTCCATCCTCTGCAAGCCTACACAAGGCAAGTCCTGCCTTGCAGGCAGCTGCCTGCCCCCTCCTTCTCTCTCCTCAGCTCAGTGGTCAGCCTGTCCACCCAGCCCTAGGCTGTGTGCCTCCCCATCTCTTCTACAGAACTACACGTGCAGCTTCTCCCCTCTGGTGCCTCACCCCAGTGCATCGTGCTGCCTCAGGAAGGCAGTAGTGGCATGTACCACACACAAGGGTTGATCCCCCCACCAAGGCCTTGCCCTAAACAACAGGCACTTTAGAAAAAGAAACGGGCTTTATTTGAGAGCAGGGGCAGGTCTGGTGCCTGCGGCGCAGCTCCTCACTTAGGTAGCAGTTCCCCTAGAGTATGCGGCTGTGTGGTGGCTCCCAGCCCTTTCACACCAGAGCATACCCCAGCAGCAGAGTGGGCTCCCTGTGACACTGCTGCACCGACAATGCAGGACAAAGTCTGTTCTGGCCAGGAACACTTGCGTCTTTGGAGCGCCGGAGTCCTCTTACATGAGGGTGTCCTCGTTCCGCACGTACTCCCCAACATCAGCCTGGTGGAACACCACGATGGCCATGGGATCCACCTTCCGGCACTCCTGCGTGGACTTGGCAGCCACCCCAAAGCCCTGGATGAACAGGAGGTAAGAGTTTGCCCCCCAACCCTGTAATCCCGCCCTGGGAAGCACGGGGTCCACACCAGCCACTCACCAGCGGGACGTCAGCCATGGAGTACACCACCACTCCCTGGTACTGAGCTGTGTTCTCTGTGATGCGGCCCAGGCCTGACTTCAGGACATGGTTGCCATAGAGAAAAGACTGCTCCGAGCCCGGCTTCACCCACACCTTGAACTGCAAGAAAAGCAGAGCGCAATGAAGGGCTGGGGGAAGCTGGGGGCCAGGGGCTGCCGGGGGCAGATTCCCACCTTGGCGTAGGGCGCAAGGAAGTCCAGAGCCGTGACACTGAGCCGGAACTTCTGCGTCTTGGTGAACTTCCCGAAGCAGGTGCCCAGCGCCGTCAGGCTCTCCCGGGGGATGCTCGCCGCCACCTTCAGCAGCTTCTCGCTGCGGGGATGGGGATCAGAGCTGGAGCAGCTCCGGGGCAGCGCCCGCTGCCCGGCACCTCCCTCCCTGCCCTCGCCTCACCTTACCTCACGTAGTAGACGCGGTCGCGGTGCAGGCGGAAGCAGTAGGTGCCATCGGGCCGGTCCACCAGCAGCTGGATGTTCTCACCGATGCTGCGGGAACAGACGCCGTGAGCTCGACCCGGTCCCTCCGCCCGCCCCCGCTTCCCGTCCCGCCCGGTGCCCCCGGCCCCTCACTATCGCCCCAGCTTCTCGAAGACCGTCCGCGTCTCCGCATCCGTCAGCGGCCGCATCGCTCCGCGCCGCACACGCGGGGTCCCACCGGAACCACCGGAACGGGAAATAAACGTCGGAACAGGAAGTGTCTGGCCGGAAGTGGTGCGGCGGCCCGTTGGAGCGGCGCGATGGCGGCGGCAGCGGAGGAGGCGCGGCTGCTGGCCTGGCTGCGCGGCCCCGCGGCGCCCGGTGGCCCCGAGCTCTCCGCATACGTGTCCGAGCTGGCGGCGCTGGGGCTGGCGGAGCTGGGCCGGGAGCCGGCGCGGCTGGCGGCGGAGCGGGCGCGGGTCGGGGCGGAGACCCGCCGCTTGGCCTTCGAGCACTACCGCGCCTTCATCCGTTCCGCCGAGTGCACCGGCCGCGCCGGACACGGCTTCGGCGGCATCGAGAGCCGCCTCGGCAGCCTGCTGGAGCGCCTGCCAGCGCTGCAGGACGCCTGCCGGTGCGGGAACGGGCACCGGGACGGCGCGGGAGCGGGGGGGGGGCCCGCTGGGGACTCGGGGAGACCGGGGATGGCGGGGAGCGGGGCTGTGAGGGCACGGGGGAAGATGGAGGGAGGCTGGGACAGGGTCTGGCGGAGCACAGGCGGCCCTGGGGTCAATGGAAGGCTGGGCTGGGGGGGCGAGAAGGAGCTGGTGCGGAGCTGGGAAGGATGGGACTGAGGAGACATCATGGAGGGTGTGAGGATCCCGGGGATTACCTGCTGCAGGGGCGAGCCTCGTGCTGATCCCATCCTCATCCCGCAGGAACTTCATGCGTGATGCTGAGGAGATCGCCTGCAGCCGGCGCATGAACAGCCTGACGCTGAACCGGCACACGGAGATTCTGGAGATACTGGAGATACCGCAGCTCATGGACACCTGCGTCCGCAATGGCTACTACGAGGAGGCGCTGGAGCTCGCTGCCTACGTGCGACGGCTGGAGAGGAAGCACAGCACCATTCCTGTGATCCAGGTGGGATCTGCTCTGCCCCTGCCCCTGCCCTGTGCCACCCTGCACCCAGCTCCTGTGGCTGAGGCCTCTCTCCCACCCCAGGGCATTGTGGAGGAAGTTCGCCAGTGCACCCAGCTGATGCTGAACCAGCTCATCCAGCAGCTCCGCACCAACATCCAGCTCCCGGCCTGCCTGCGGGTCATAGGCTACCTGCGGCGCATGGATGTCTTCACGGAGGCTGAGCTGCGCATCAAGTTCTTGCAGGCACGGGATGCGTGGCTGCGTTCCATCCAGGCCTCCATCGCTGATGACGACCCCTACTTCCACATCACCAAGACCATCGAAGCCTGTCGCGTCCACCTTTTCGACATCATCACCCAGTATCGCGCCATCTTCTCCGATGAGGAGCCGCTCCTGCCCGCCGAGGGTCAGGCCCTCAACGAGGGGGCCATTTTCCACAGCTGGGTGCTGCAGAAGGTGTCCGAGTTCCTGCGGACACTGGAGCGCGACCTGCGGCGTGGGGTGGGCGGCCGCCTGGACTCGCTGCTGGGGCAGTGCATGTATTTCGGCCTCTCCTTCAGCCGGGTGGGGGCCGATTTCCGCGGGCAGCTTGCGCCCCTCTTCCAGCACGTGGCCGCCACCGCGTTCAGGAAGGCGGTGGAAGAGGCAGTGGAGAAGTTCCAGGAAGAGATGAATTCCTACACACTCATCTCTACGCCGGCAGTGCTGGGGGGCAGCGCAGGAGTCCCCGTGCCCATGGCACAGCCAGGGACGCTGCAGCCCCCCATGGTGCTGCTGGACTTCCCACCCCTCGCCTGCTTCCTCAACAGCCTCCTCGTCGCTTTCAATGACCTGCGGCTCTGCTGCCCCATCGCCCTGGCACAGGATGTCACCACCTGCCTGGAGGATGCGCTTGGTCAGGTGAGGTGCTAGGGGATAGAGCTGTGCCTTGTCCCAGGAGGACATGGGGGCAGGCTTGTCCTGCTTGAGTATTGGTAGGATGGAATCATAGACTCATTTAGGTTAGAAAAGACTTTTGAAGATCATCAAGTCCAAGTGTTAGCCTGGTAGCGCCAAACCCACCACTAAACATGTCCCTAAGTGCCATGTATCCATGTCCTGGTGACTCCACAACTTCCTTGGGCAGCCTGTTCTAGTGCTTGGCAACCCTTTTGGGAAAGAGATTATTCATAATCTCCAGTCCAAACCTCACCTGACACAGCTTGAGGCCGTTTCCTCTTGTACCACCACTTGTTACTTGGGAGCAGAGCCCAGCCCCTCCTGTCTCCATCCTCCTGTCAGGCAGTTGTCAGAGCGATCAGGTCCTCCCTGAGCCTTCTTCAGACTGAACCCCCACCCCGGTCCCTCAGCCATTCCCCATCATACTTGTGCTGCAGGCCCTGCACCAGCTCCGCTGCCCTTCTCTGGCCCCACTCCAGCACCTCAATGTTGCTCTTGTAGTGAGAGGCCCAGAACTGAACACAGGATTCAAGGTGAAGCTTCACCAGTGCCCAGTACAGGGGAACAGTCACTTCCCTGGCCCTGCTGCCACACTATCGCTGATGCAGGCCAGGATGCTCTTGTCCACCTGCATGCAAGCTGCCTCATGTTCAGCTGCTGTTGACCAGCACCCCCAGGTTATTTCTGTGGGCAGCTTTCCAGTCACTTTTCCCCACAGCTGGAGCATTGCATGGGGTTGTTGTGGGCCAGGTGCCAGACTTGGTACTGAGCCCTGTTGAACCTCGTACAATTGGTTGTGAGAGGAGTGTCCATTTTACCTCTGGGGTTGTCTGTGGGGGGTATCAACAACTCTGCCTTCCACCCCAGGTGACTAAAACCATCCTGGCCTTCCACCGTGCGGAGGAGGCGGCTTTCAGCGGGCGGGAGCAGGAGCTCTTTGCCCAGTTCTGCATGGCTTTCCTGGATGACCTGCTGCCCTACCTGAACCGTTGCCTGCAGGTCCTCTTCCCGCCGGCACAGATTGCACAAGCACTGGGTGAGACCCCGGGGGGTGTTGTTTTTAGTGGGGAGGGGGGAGCCTGATTCCCCCCTAGTTCTGCTGGTCCTGCCTCTGGGGGGCTTCCCTTTGCCCACAGGCTCCCACCAGCCCCCGTTTCCCTCTCTGGCAGGCGTCCCCCCGACCCAGCTGCAGCGCTTCGGCCACCTGGGCCGCATCAACGTGGCTGCTCTGAGGGACTCGCTGGCTTTCCTGCTGCCGGCTCCACAAGACGAGGAAGAGTCTCTGCGCCCAAAGGAAGAAGAGGAGGCTGAGTCCCTGCCCGCACCCCCGCCTGCACACGGGCAGGAGGGATCCCCCGAAGGGGCTCTGCTGCCGACAGCAACCACGGAGTAGCGGGGCTATGGCTGGGCCGTGTCACCGCGGCTCCTGTCCGCTCCCTCCCGTGGGACGCGCTGCCTGCCCTGGGCTGTGTCACCCCGTCGCGCTCTTCGGTCCTCCCCGCCGGCAGGTGTCGCCGTCTCGCCCCGTCGTGCCCGGCGGGGTTGCACATGGCGGCGGCGCTGGCAGCGGGGAGGCGCGGGGCTGCCCTGGCTCTGGCGGGGCGCGGGTGCGGGGACGCTGCGGGCTGGGGCCAGCGGGAGCGCTCCTACTGGCGAGCCCTGCGGCGGCGGGTGCTGGGCCCGCCCGTGCCGCCCTTCGCCGCCCCATGCCAGGTGGGAGCCCCGGTGCTGCGCGCCGCAGCCGCCGCCGTGGCCCCGGAGCTGCTGGGCGGCCCCGAGCTGCGGGAGCTGGCGGCGGCGCTGGCGGCCGGGCTGCGGCGGGGGCCGTACCTGGGGCTGAGCGCCCCGCAGCTCGGTGTGCCGCTGCGGGTGTTCGCTGCCGAGCTGCCCCCCGCCCTCTGCCAGCAGTACCCGGCCGCGCTGCGCCGCTCGCACCGCATCGAGCCCTTCCCGCTCCGCCTGTTTGTCAACCCCGTGCTTCGCGTCGTGGACACGCACCTGGTCACCGGCCCCGAGGGCTGCGCCAGCATCCACGGCTTCTCTGCCGATGTCCCACGCCACTGGGCCATCCATGTGTCGGGTACGCACCCCACAGCCCTGCCTGCACCCCCGGGTCTGTCCAGCACCGCGGTTCCTCCCTGACCGCTGCGCTCTGGTAGCAGGGGTGAATGAGCACGGGGAGCCGGTGAGCTGGGAGGCGAAGGGTTGGGCAGCCCGTGTTGTCCAGCACGAGATGGACCACCTGGATGGCATCCTCTACATCGACCGCATGGACACACGCACCTTCACCAATATCAGCTGGATGGAGCTGATGGACTGACAGCCTCGGGCCGAATCCCACTGGAGAAGAGCTGCAGCGAGGCCCCACACCGGACACTGGCCAGAGGGGCAGCATGGCACTGCATGGGCTCCTACTCACCATTACTACAGCCAAAATACACACTGTGAAGCCTCAGCCTGGCTCCTGGCCTTTCTTGCTCCTGGTCTGGGGGTGGGATAGGGTTCAGCCCTCATTGTTCCAACTCCTGTAGTCATCCTATGGGTCTAGGAACCAGCACCACTGCCAGGGCTGTACTGGAAGAGGGAACCCCTTTTCCAGGGCTTGTTTGTGGTCTGGGATGGAGCTGGGGATGGGACACGCAGTTTGGGTGAGGGGTGGAAGCAAGCTGGCAGGAGACCTTATGGCTTTTCCCTTGGCTGGGGGCTGCTCTCAGAGGGTGCAAAGCACTACCCTCTGCCTGGGAACAGGCAGCAGCTCCTGCCTGCATAGGCAGTAGCACAGGCACTGTGTTACTGGGTGGAATTGAGGAGCCAGGCTGACCCTTGCCAGTGCAGTCAGATCCTCATGGAAGGGGCCAGGCACCACCTGAAGCTTTTGGATTGTTTTTATTTCCATACAAACAAGACAGAACCCAAAGCAGCATTAATTTAAAAAATAAAAAAGAGCAGGAAGAAGAGTGGGGTGCAGCCAGGGGGGCAATCAGTCCCCAGGCCGTGCCCAGACACCCCCCGCCATCCCCTTGGGGCCATTCATCTGGGCCCCACCAGGTGCTGCAGTGCAATTGGGTGAGCAGTGAACAGAAGATGAACCTGTTTGGCACAGGCAGCAGGGAAGGAGCCACCCCAGCCCCATGCCCTACCCACCCCTCAGCCTTCTTGTCCGAAGTCCTCAGTGAATTTCTTCACCTTCAGCAGATCCTCAGTGTTCACGGTGGGGCGGGTGGTGGCCAGTGAGCGCAGCATGTCCGACTGCAACACAGGCAGTGCAACACTGTGCGAGCTGGCACAGGGCAGGGCCCCCCCCAGCAGTCCAGGCAGCTCTGCCCACCCAGCGGGCTGCCATGGGCTACAGTGTCCCAAGGGGTTCCCGCAAGCAAAAGGACCCCCTAATGCACCCCAGCCCTGCCCAACCCTTCGCCTGGGGACAGACAGACTGGAGGAGGAACAGGGATGTGGCAGGGTCAGGGCTGCAGCACTGCTGGCCTGCACCAGCCTCTATGCACCAGGATGCTGTGGCAGTGACCATACTCACCATACAGACCATGGGCTCCATCAGCTTGTCACTGGGCACCTCCATCCAGGTCATCTCAATGGCTCCCTGGTCGCCAGGCGAGCACGGCATCAGGAGGTCATCCACAAAGGTACCAGGGCTGGTGCGGGAGGGACCACGGACCTGCAGCAGAGTGGCAGGGTGGGATGGTGGCCACAGCACCAGCACCAGTCATGGGGCTCCCCCACCACCCCAGGACAGGCCCCCCAAGCCGGGAGCTGTCCCCACTCACCTTCTTGAAGTGTGTGGCCGACTGCACCTTGCGTACAGGCTGCATCAGGGCATCGCGCACGATAATGCTGATGTCAGCCCCCGAGTACCCCTCGGTCTTGTGGGCCAGCTCCTGGATATTGGCCTCGGTCAGGCTGTGCGGGGTGTTGCCAAGGTGCAGCTTGAACATCTGGGCCCGCGCCGCCTCCTCGGGCAGCGGGATGTAGATGCGCTTCTCAAACCTATAGGCAGTGCAGGCAAGGGGTGAGCCCCACGCTGCCAGACCCTGCCAGCACTGTGGGTCTGGAGCTGAGGAGCTGCCGGGTCCTGCTCACCTTCTCCTGATAGCAGAGTCCAGCACCCAGGGGATGTTGGTGGCACCCAGCACCAGGATCCCATCGCTGCTGTTCCCTACACCTGCACAGGAATGCAGTACAGATGAGTCAGTGTGATCCCCAAGGACCGTGTTGTACAGGCATCTGGCAGTTTTCCTGTGCCTGCCTGGCCATCCTGCTCCCTCCTTTCTCTGTTTTCTCCCCATACACACCCTGCATCTGCACCAGGAATTCTGTCTTGATGCGCCGGGCCGCCTCACTCTCATTCTCATTGCGCGAGCCGCACAGGGAGTCCACCTCATCAATGAAGATGATGGAGGGCTTGTGCTGCCTTGCCAGCTCAAAGAGATTCTTCACCAGCCTGGGAACAAAGAAAGCAAGAGATGGGGTTCCCCACCAGGAACCCTGTACAGCACCAAAGGCACCCAGTGCCTGTGACAGCCCCAGGGCAGGAGCCCCAAACTCCTCCAGCCCGCCCTGGGAAGCCCTTGCTGACAACGAGGCGAGCACCATGCTGGGAGAAGGACCATCATCCCCTGTGGAGCTCTGTGAGTGCCCATGCTCTCCCATGGGACCCACTGTCTGCAGTACCAGGGCCCCAGCCAAGCTCCGGTGGGGATGCCAGGAGCCAGCCTGCAGCAGCCACACCTCCTTGCTGCCAGCTTACTTCTCACTCTCTCCCAGCCACTTCGACATCAGGTCAGAGGACGACACGGAGAAGAAGGTGGAGTTGTTGGCCTCAGTGGCCACGGCCTTGGCCAAGTAGGACTTGCCAGTGCCAGGGGGCCCGAAGAGCAGGATCCCTCGCCAGGGTGTGCGCTTCCCTGCGACAGAGGCCAGTGTCACAGCTCCCCTGTCCCTGTGCAGGCCAGATCCATGTGGGCTCACAGGGACACACATTCCTGTGCTTGGGGTCACATCCCAGCACACGCTGCCCCATGGCACCTCCTCTATGGGCGAGCAGCAGCCGTGGCGCTGCCGTGCCTCTCACCAGTAAACAAGTGTGGGAACTTGATGGGCAGGATCACAGCCTCCTTCAGGGCTTCCTTGGCTCCCTCCAGGCCGGCCACGTCACTCCACCGCACGTTAGGTTTATCCATCATGATGGCACCTGTGAGAAGGCAGCTCTGCCCATGCAGCCCCACAGAGACAGGCCAATACGCTCCCAACATCTACCAAAAGCGGGGAGAGCCAGAACCCTCATCCCTCCCTACCCCTCTGCTCCACCAAACCCTTCCACTCACACCAACCCCACCGTCCCTCAGCACAGAGGCTGGTTCTTGGGTTACCAGACCCCAGCAACACACCCCTGGTCCCCAGTCCCACAGCCTGCCTCCCTCCCCACAGTCACCCCTTGCAGGAACCCCTCTGCTGACCCCGCAGCCACCAGCAGGACCATACCCACTGTGCCCAGCACAGCCCCTCACCCATCAGCTGCTCCTGCAGCATTTTCTTCTCAGGGTTCTCGCCCTCGCTGTCACTGTCACTCCTGGGGAGAAGGGACAGGGGTCAGGAGCGGGACTGGCCCCGGTGTGGCAGGTCAGGGGGGACCCAGCACCTCCACACACCCCTTGGTGTCATTCTGGGACTCCTTGACAGGCTTCTTGCTGTGCTTGTCCTTGCTCCGCAGGTAGTCCTTCAGCTTCTCCGCCCGGTCCAGGTACTGCACGCACTTGGCTCGGATGCTCTCCTTCGCCTTGTCGCTGTGAGCCTCATCTGGAGAGACCCACCGGCGTCACCCGCGGCCCCGCTCCCGCCCCCGGCCCCCCGAAGCCGCCGCCCTCACATTTGATGGCGTGCAGGAAGTATTCCACGGCGTGCTGGTACAGCCGCAGCGCCTCCTCGTAGTTCTTGGCCTTGTCCTCCTCGGTGGCTTTGGTGACCAGGTCGATGGCTTTCTGCCGGGGACGTGCGCAGCGCGGTGAGCCGCGCACCGGGTCCTTCCCACCCCCGGGGGACCGGCACTGCTCGCACCGGCGCGGCCGGCGGGGTCCCCTCCGCAGCGGCCGGAGGGACAGGAGCCTCCTTCCTCCACCCCCCCACCACGGACAAGATAAGGCTGACCCAGCGGGGCCCGGCACCGGCGCATAGCGAGGCCTTCCCCCGCTGGCTCCGCACCGGCACCGGGGCCGTGACAGGGCCCCCCCGCGGGGGGGGCGGAGACGCCGCTCACGGCAGGCGGGGCCCGGTCCGCGCCCCGGCAGCCCCCGTACCTGCAGGGTGGACGTTGTCATCTCATCGCCCGGGATCGCCGCTGCTGGCGCGGCCCGGCCCGGCGGCGGCGGAGCTGGGCCCGGGGGACCGCCCGCGACTGCGGCTGTGAGCGACAGCGCCCCCTGCCGGCGCCCTCCGGCACGGGCGGGGCCTCGCCCCCTCGGCATTAAACCACGCCCCCCGCCGCTCCCCCGCTCCCTCCCCGGCCCTGGTTATGCGCATGCGCAGACGCGCACGCAGGCTCCCAGCGGAGCGGGGGGTCCCGAGCCCCTGTGTCCAACCTGGCCTTGAGCACTGCCAGGGATGGGGCAGCCACAGCTTCTCTGGGCACCCTGTGCCAGCGCCTCAGCACCCTCACAGGGAAGAGCTTCTGCCTAAGAGCTCAGCTCAGTCTCCCCTCGGGCAGGTTCAAGCCATTCCCCTTGGCCTGTCACTACAGGTCCTAATGAGGAATCCCTCCTCAGCATCCCTATAGGCCCCCTTCAGATACTGGAAGGCTGCTCTGAGGTCTCCACGCAGCCTTCTCTTCTCCCCGCTGAACAGCCCCAACTTTCTCAGCCTGTCTTCATACAGGAGGTGCTCCAGTCCCCTGAGCATCCCTGTGGCCTCCTCTGGACTTGTTCCAACAGTTCCATGTCCTTTTTATGTTGAGGACACCAGAACTGCACACAGTACTCCAGGTGAGGTCTCATGAGAGCAGAGTAGAGGGGCAGGATCACCTCCTTTGACCTGCTGGTCACGCTCCTTTTGATGCAGCCCAGGATACGGTTGCTTTCTGGGCTGCAAGCACACACTGAAGCCGGCTCATGTTCATTTTCTCATCGACCAGCACCCCCAAGTCCTTCTCCACAGGGCTGCTCTGAATCTCTTCTCTGCCCAGCCTGTAGCTGTGCCTGGGATTGCTCCGACCCAGGTGTAGGACCTTGCACTTGGCATGGTTGAACCTCATAAGGCTGGCAGTATTCACCTCACAAGCGTGTTCAGGTCCCTCTGAATCCCATCATCTCCCTTCAGCATGCTGACCACAACACACGGACACACAAACACACACGTGTGCACCCCGGGCACATGCTTGCACCTACAGGCACCCCGACGTGGATACGCATCCCCCCCCTTCACCCAGCCATGTATGTGTGCACACCCCTA